CAGTATATTATTATCAGTACATTATTTTGCCTATTTGAAAAAAAAAGGTACATTTTTATCTCTTCTAAAAGATTAATAAAGCCAAATTTTAATAATCAATTCATTAATATCTAATTCATGCCTTTCATTTATTTGTCCACTCTAACTCACGTACCGTCTGCTGATACTATTGCTAAAATTGATTAAAGTTGTCGATAAGACAGACTTTGGTTGTTCCATAAGTTATTCAAGCCATCAGTTATTTCAAAGATGTCGCGCTAAGTTCAAGATCATATCTTGACCTACAATCCCACAGGGATGACTGATTTACACAATCATTTGCAATCATTTGGGCTTAGCAAATCCAGGGACCCACAGAGCTCAGCACACTGTGAACATACACATACACTTAAATATTATATACATCTATTTATAATATGTATATATATTTTTACAAGAAATAATCCAAGATACACATTTAAGGAAAAATAAAAGTTAAATATACACTAATTCAATTTAAGAATAAAAAGTAAAAGAAACATATATATCTGATATAGAAGTATTTGAGTTAAAATTGTGAAAGTAAGAGCTCATTTTTTATTTATATTTCTTAATTAAAAGACATCTGGACTTTCAGAAATCTTCAGCGCTGACCTTCACCGCTGAAGCTTTTATGAAATAGGAACTGAAGTCAAATGACGCGAGAAATACATGTAAAAAAGTTTATGCCAATCGTTATACTAATTAATATTTTATCGAGCTTATTTTCTTTGAATAAATGAATTATTAGTCATTTAGTGTCTAATAAATAATGAGCACATTTATGAGATACATATTTTACAATAAAAATATATTATAGATATAGCTGCAGAAGTAGAGCAATTTTTTATTATTTTTTGTATTAATTTCTCGTGTATTTAATTATTTAATGTAATGTTTTTCAATATTTACTATATCTCTACAGGATGTCATAATCGAAAGTTTATGAAGTTTCTCATATTAACCAAATTCTTAATACCGTTATTCTCTTTTAACCCTTTTAACCTCACTTACTTCGAGCGAGATTCATATCTTATTACAACTTATCTTTACGCGAATCAATTTCCTGGAACCACGATGAGACAAGAAATTTTTAAGTAAAAGAAATAATAAATTACGTCACTCAAATCTCTCTCTCTCTCTCGCGCGCGCGCGCGTGAATTGCTACCGTAGTTCAATTAATACTGTCATTATGAAAAGTGATACGCATTTAATTATCGAAATTTTTAAAAAATTATAGTTGTATTTCCAAAAATACTATCTTCAAATTTAGATTAACTTTGTAATTAACTATTAAAGAAGAATCGAAATATTGTGGCCAACTTTTTTGATTGGCTGCAACAAATAAGAAAATATTTAATAAATAAAATTTGCTGTAAAATAAATTTTGTAAATATGTATAGTTTTTTATTTTTACACTTATCATACAATGTCAAGCAATTCACCAACAGTTTGCGCAAGATCAGAAATTAAATCACCGTCGGAATATCCCTGTTTAGAATCTTTGCTTTCGATTTGAAGATTCGTCGATCCATGAATTCGACCATTTCTAGAATCGTCCAGCTGATGTTCAATCGAGAAACTTGGTCGGGAAACCCTGTGATTCGGTCGCCATTTGTAGATATGAATCGTTGGGTTTTGTTCTCGCCTGAATGCGTCGGGCGCATCGATGTTCAACGTCGGTCGTGTTTCATCGCACGGTTTCGAAACAGTCAATGTTGGCCGATTAAAACGTTGATCTAAAATAATAATTTTAATCCTTAATCATTACCATGACAAAATAAACGTCGATAATTAATTTTTTAATAATGCGAAAACTGAGCAATAATCAAATAAAAATGTAATTGGTAATTACTCTTACCGTTGTGCCCATTGTTTGGACCAATGTTGCTCCATGTTGGCCAATAGGGATATCGCGCGTTGACGGCACCAGTTTGCGAGAATTGTCTACGGTTACCACCAGTTGTAGAGGATTGCGAGCTACCAGCGGAAGATATAGCCCCGGTAATCGTTTGTCCATTTTCAATCGTTCCGAAAGAAGTTGCAGTTGCTTGACCAAAGCTAAACGAATGACTTTCGGTCTTGGCATTGTTACCGTTACTATGAGCTTCCGCACTTGCGGTAGAAATTCCTGATAATCCCGCGGAAACAGTCGCTGATTTGCTTACGGAAACGGAAGATCTGAAAAGCAACTGTCTTTTTATATATGCCTAATATACAATATATATTAGGAAAAAAATATAATTCTCTGAATAATCGAAAAATAATCAAAGCAAATACACTAGTATTTTTAACAAAATAGATTTATTATATGTTCTAGACGTATTATATATATGAAGAAATATATAATTTATAATTATCTTTGAGTTTTTTTTCATGTGTTTGTAATTATTTGGATTTTCCTTTTTTAAGTGCAATTACAAACGAATTTTAAATTACACTACATTATTTTATATACACACCCATCAAGCCCATACCCCGTAGGATGATTGTAAGTGTTACTTTCCGAAAGGCTAATGCCATCGAGACTCGCACCGAGACTGACGGAGTGCGCATTATTATTCCCTGCGTTTAAACTGACAGTCGCCGTGGGGACGAAAGAAAAGAGACGTGTCTGAGGTTCCTCATTGTTTAAGATCTTGACTGACTCGGGCGTTAGTTCTGGCGGCGTATTCCATCGCTCGTGTTCGTCTGTTCAATGAAAAACGTTTGTTCAAGTATCTAGAAATCCAGGAGGTGATAGGTAAAAATATATTTATGTATTTTTATATATCACTAAATTGTATACTTGCATCACTTATGAGAAGATTGACATTGAAATATATATGTATATATACGTACACAAAATTTTTGTAAATCTCCTGATCGTAACACTTTTATATGGATAAACGTAATTGATGTGCGTTCTATTAAATTTGTTCAATTCGATTTAAATAATTCTGAATTGCATTAATTAGTTGATACCAATATCCAAGACTAAAAACTCTATTTAAATGAACTATTCAATATTATGAAAATTGATTGCAAATTTCAAAAGTAAAGACTAAAGACAATATTAATCACTTGTAACACAGTTGCACTATGTAAGATAAATCTGAGTAAATCTTATTTTATATTTGAAATTTGTAAATGAATCAAACCATCACAGTTCATTGAAGTTAAATTATGCCCCAACAATAATTTATTCAATTTTGCGAATAAATATATATATATATATTATATATTATTATATATTATTATTATATATTATTATATATTATATATATTATATATTATATATTATATATTATTGAACTAGCGTCATAGAAAATAGAAAATATGACGAGATCAATAATTTTGTTTTGTTTTTAAGAATCTTAGAATTCGGTGCTAACATCACTATCGTCCATGTATGATGAAATAATAAAAATTCCATGAATCTCGTAATATGCACTATATCATGACACACCCAACAAGTTCAAAAAGAATCTTTTCAGTTAGCAACACTCGCAATTATGATATACTCGCACTTATCACAAATTCTTTTTTGTCGACATTCTCCATATCTTTAAGCGCAGCTTACACTTGTATTTCTATTTTTCAGAAATATTTATCTCACCTGCCCGTACGAACAACAGCGCGAACGTTAGTAAAAGAACGCTATCGATGCTCTTCGCCATGTCTGAGAGCGTTCTGACTTGATCGTGCCATCGCCCTGCCCTTTTTCTATAACCACGCACGACCTTAGATTCATTATTAAGATGCAGGACGCGTTTATTTGCGTAATTCTTCTTACTGAATCGTTGCGCGGTGACGCGAATCACGAAGCAGAAATGTGATTCTCAATGACTCAAGCTACCAGATATCAGCGATCAGTAAACTTTTTGAATTATTTAGCGTACATAGAAATGAATTATAATTAAATCTCATGGACATATTTAATTTGAAACAATTTTTTTTAATGACAATACAACAATTTCTTTTATGACGATAATATATATATTGGCTTTCAGAGCTTACTACGAGCGATTTTACGCAACCCCACAGTATCGATTATGATTAAGGTTAAAAGAATACAATGATCATGCGAATTATTTTATTAATTCGACGTTACATATTATATTATATAAAAAAAGCAAAACTTAATAAGTATTTAAACAACCATGGCCCGCAAAACTAAATTGAGAAAAGAACTGTTGATTTATTAATGATTTATTAAAGATTAAAGTTTTATTATATTCCTTATGTTTTTCTTGTTCAGTCACGCTTTACTTTTTTGTTCTCATCGTTTTTTCGACAATTTCGATTGTTTGGAACATTCTATTTTATTGAAACATAACTGTTAACGTTCTTTTATTTTTGGCCAACATTTTTTATTCTCCCGTCTGACCGTTTTCCTTACTACTCAGTGTTTTTATGTTTTATCGAATGAAGAATTATTGGCAATTTAACTTTAGCCCTTTCTTGCAAGCTCTTCTCGTCACAGGAAAATCTTAATCGATTTTAGGATTTTTATTCTTTTCCAATTTCCAATTCATTTGTAGACGTAGGTCGTATTTGAGTTTTATCTTCTTGTGTTTTAATATATACTTGATGCACTCTCAGATGTCCATGGTTCTTCGTTATCTTCGGACTTCTCTTCCTTGTTGTCACTTTTATCTTTCACATATCTGTATATTATATCTCTATATAGCGGCACTCTGGCTTAGTTTATATACACCGATCTCTTGATACGCATATCAAACAGTCTATTTGAACTGATCAGCCAATAATCTGACTTACTTACTAGTTATTTACTATTATTTATTACGCGTATCAAGTAATCGGTGTAAACTAAGCCTCTATATACCGGCGCACTATGTAGCGGACCTCTACGTCCCGACCCTCTATATAGCGGCACTCTAACAGTCTTAGGTTGCTGAGTAACTACTGATTCGTCCAGTGTAGAGGCTGTTTGAATTTCATTTACTTGCGTTTTGTCACCTGATACGGTGTTTTTAGGTGTCAATTGATTTTTGGTTTCTGTAACATGATTTTTTAGATTTATAATAAAGCAAATGTTCAATTATCATGTAC